CACGTGCACTCATACACATAAAATAAAAAGATAATAAAATATTTTTTTTAATACACAAATTCATTTTCAGTATTGATGTTAAAAAGTCTAATGACACTTTGGTTTTTGGCTCTTTGCAGGTAACCTGTCATAGCCTTTAGGATATTCTTTTTATCTCTAGAGGCATATTAATTACTTTTCTGTTGCTGTGATAAAATACCATGACCAAGGCAACTTATAGAAGAAAGTTTATTGGGCTTAAGGTTCAAAAGGGTTAAGAGTCCATCATGGTAGGGGAGGCATGGCAGCAGGAGCCAAAAGCTGAGAGCTCACATCTCCAATGGCAAACAGGAAGTAGAAAGGCAAACTGGAAATGTGGTAAGGCCATGAACTCTTGAAGCCCACCCCCAATAACATACTTCCTTCAGCAAGGCCATACCTTCAAATAGTACCTCCACAAATAGTGCCACCAACATCTTGGTCAGTTGTTCCCTTGATCAGAATGAAGTGGCCCTCTTTTATCTCTTCTGATTAGTGTTAAAGTCTATTTTGTCAGATATTAAAATTGCAGCTCCTGCTTTTTTCTTAGTACTATTTGCTTGGAATATTTTTTTCCATCCTTTCACCCTAAGGTAATACCTGTCCTTGAAAGTGAGATGGGTTTCTTGCAGACAACAAAAAGATGGGTTTTATTTCTTAATCCGTTCAATTAGTCTGTGTCTTTTGACTGAGGAGTTCAGTCCATTTTGATATTTAAAGTTATTAATGAAAGATGTGTATTGATTCCTGTTGTTTTGATTTCTGTTTGCATTCTTGGTATAACTGTGCATTTCCACAGTTTCACCTTCATTAAGTTTCTTTCTGTTATCCTTGGGGTACAGTCATTCCTTTCTTCAGGTCTTTGTATTGCTTCAAGAACTCTTTGGTTTTGTGGACATGAATTCTTTCAGCTATTTATGTCACGGAAGATTTTTTTCTTTCCCCCTTCGACTGTAATAGATACTTTCTGGGTTGGCATCTGTAGTCATTTAGAACTGAAAATACTTTGGTCCAGGCCCTTCTGTCTTTCATAGTTCGCACTGAAAAGTCAGCTGTAATTCTGACTTTATATGTGACCTGTTTTTCTTTTGCAGTTTTCGATATTCTCTCTTTGTTCTGAACATTTAGTGTTTTTACTATGATGTGCCATGGAGAGTTTCTTTTCTGATCCTGTCTGTTTGGTGTTCTTTGTGCTTCTTGTATTTGTATGGACAAGTCTTTTTTTAATTTTGGAAAATTTTCTTCTACAATTCTATTGAAGATCTAGTCCATATCATTATCCTCAGATTCTTCTCCTTCCTGTATGCCTATGATGTGTAAGTTTGGTCTTTTTACAATGTCACACAATTCTTGTATACTCCATTCTTATGTTTTCTTAAATTTTTCATAATCTTTGCTTGAGTGGTCTAGTTCATTCACTTTATCTTCCAGTCTTGATATTCTGTTTTCCATTTCATTCATCCTATTGGTGAGACTTTCTCCTGTTGTTTCTAATTGGCTTATTGAGTGTTTCACTTCCTTCTTCATTTCAGCCTGAGTATTCTTCGCTATTTCTCTTTCCTGAATTCATTCAGAAGTTTATCCCTATCTTCTTTTAGTTCTTTGATTTCTTTGTGTGTTCTTTAAATTCACTGAATTCTTTTATCGTGTTTATAATTGTTCTTTTCAATTCCATGTCCTGTGTTATCTCTAGGGGGTTCTCATTGTACTCCTCTACAGGACTGTTGGTACTTGGTAGGGATATATTATTTTGGTTTTTCATGTTATTTTTTTGCTGTGACTTTGACAAGTGGATTTCTTTTGTAGTTTCTGACTCTTGTGCAAGACTCAAGCCTTCCTTTGTTGAGTTTAGGTCTGCTTCTGTTTGTAAACTTTATGTGCCTTTGCGGTTTACTCGTTGGACATGAAAAGCTGGTTGGTCTAGGCTTCAGGTTCTCTCTTTTGATTTTATATTGGAGGGGCCAGATGGCTTTCATCCTACTACTCAGGAGTTCCCACAGAAGCCCAAGTCAGATGAGAATCAAATGCTCTCAGGCTTTCTCCTAAGGAGGTCTGGATCCCTCAGCAGCCACAGTACAGTTTGAGAGGATTGCTAGGTAGAGGTAGGATTCAGGACTCTCGGGCAGTCGGGGAAGGAGGTTGGTCTCAGGAATCCAGGTTGAGGGTGGGACTGCCAGGGATGAAGGCTGGTCCAAGTATGCAAAGGTTGAGGTGGGGAAGGGAATAGGCTGAGGAATTGGGTTGTTTTGGGTGCAGTGGATCAGGAAGCAGTGGAAAGTCTGGGCCAAGAGGGTAGTCCAGAGGTCTGGGGTGCCAAGAGAAGAAATGGGCCAGTGCCCATGCTAGGAGGAGACGGGGGGTGGGGGGAGCTGGGTAGGTGAATGAGGTTGTGGTACCTAAGGCATAGTGGACATGGTTAACCTACCCAGGAAAGATACTGGCTTTAGGAAGATGGCGGTTAGGTTGGCCAGGGATGAAGGCTAATCCAGGTATGCAAAGGAGAGGTGGGGGAGGAAACAAGCCTTGGGGGCTCCAGGGGATTAGACTTAGGAACTGGGTTGGTCTGGGTGCAAAGGATCAGGAAGCAGTGAGGAGTCTGGGCCAAGAGGGCAGTCCAGAGGTCTGGGGTGCCAAGAGAAAGTGAGCAGTAGGTATTCTTAACAGCTGAGCTATCTCTCCAATCCCTGTTTATTTTTAATTTTTTGAGACAGGGTTTGTATAGCTCAGGCTGGCCTTGAACTCAGGATCTTCCTGCCTCTACTTCCTTAATGCTGAGATTACAGGCATTTACCATCTTACCCAGCTAATGTTTTCACATTTTATGAAATCATTTTCAGCTTGGATAGATGTATACATTTAATATTAGATATTTCCTCCCTACCCCAGAGCTACAATTTTTTAAAATTTTACAGTTGTGTATGTGTATAATGTGTATTGATATGTGTGTGTGCATGTTCATGTGCATGAGTATATGTACATGCTATGAGGGGGGGTGTGTGTTTGTGTGTGTGTGTGTGTGTGTGCGCGCGCACGTGTGTGTGGGTCAAAGGATAATATCTGGTGTCGAGTCTTCATCTTTCACCTTGCTTGAGACAGGGTTGCTTGTCAGTCGCTGCATACGCCAGGCTAGCTGGTCTGTGGGCTTCCAGGACTCACCTTTCTTCACCTCCCATCTCTCCATAGGAGCACTGGATTACAAGTGTACACTATCACAACTAGCTTTACACAGGTGCTGGGAATTTGAACTCAGGTCCTTATGCTTGCACAGTAACCACTTTACCAACCAAGCCGTCTCCCCAGCCTCCAAAGCTACTGTTGAATAATTTGTTCATTTTATAATTTATATATATTAGAAAGAAATAGGGTTATTCAGAAGTATAATTTACAGTCCTAAAATTTCCCTTATTTTTCTTTATCCCAGAATAACAGCCTACTATAATGCATTCATTTGCTGCATAGAGTAACATTTAATAAGTACTTGGTGTGGTGTGGGGACAAGTGCAAATATAAAGATTTTTGCAGCCCCTGCCCTCCAGGAATTCATAATCTAATGGGAAACACTTAGAAACACCCCACCAAGATGTAGAAGGAAGTCTCTGCAATCTGGGTTATTTGGGGGGCAAAGAGAAAGGAGGGGTTTGTTTTTGTTTTTCTTTTTCTTTTAATGGTATAAGTGCATTAGGAAAGGCCACAGCATGGAAGTCAGGCCTAGGTCAAATAATGAGCATCTGGCTATGCAGTTGGCCCTTAGCATTTGTTGAGGGATTGGTTCCACGTCACAATACATTACAGAATGCCAGTTGAAGGAGTTTGTACGTTGTTCAGTAGGCAGTGGGAATCATCACCAAATTTCTTTAAGGGAGCATCCAAAGAGATTGAAACAGTAAGATTAAAGAGCCATCTTCTGAGTCTTAGAAAAGCAGGAGAGTCTGTGGTACTAACACAAGAATGCAGTGCACTATGGAAGCCAGAAGCACAGGGACACCGTTGAGAGCTGGGGCGCTGGAAGTAGGACCCGACCTCTGCTTTGAATGTGAGGACGAACCAAACACCAGCTCTGTTGCAAAGCTGAATTTTAGTTTCACGCCACAGCATCTCTGACAAAAATTCAGGCAGCCATTTAGCATTTATTTCAGCCTAGTAAAAGCTGATTAAATAAAAGTTTCCTGCTGCTTGGTTCTTTCATGTGTAAAATAGACTTGTTCTCTGTCTTCAACTTTAGGGGTTAGCATGTCAGGAATTAATTAAGCCCCATAGTCATGTGAGAGTGAGAAGTGCACCTGAAATGAGGACAGGAGAAGGACAAGTTGCAGAAATGAGGGCATGTCTTTAGAAGAGTAGAATAAAAAGAACTAGTACATAAAAGGTGAGAAGAATGGTTGTAATAGGGAAAATGACAAGGTAAAGACTGGTTTACAGAGAAGTCCTCCCGGTTCAGAAATGAAGAATGGCGAAGGGGCAAGGGGAGAAAAGCTATGTCCTGCTCAAAGACTGGAGCTTGCTATGAGGCTATCCAAATTAACCTGGTGTACATTAAAATTTACTCACATGATTCTCAGCTACAGCCTTTTTATGTCGCTACTATGTAGGTAATATAAATTCTTAAGTAAGTTAGTAATTATTCACCCCAGCACTATACTTTGGTTTTCAGTTCTGCCCTGAGAAAACATTTGATATTTTAAAAAGGTAGGGGGAGGCACAGTCTGGTATCACAGTAATCATCATCAGTGAATTACATTGGAATAGTTTGAACTTTCAATTATATATAAACTCAAAGTGGAAATGAAGAAAACTGTGCTTGCTGCTGCTATCAAAAGGAAAAACTATTTCACTCAGTATCTTAACTTTTCTTTAAGACAAAGGACTTTATATTTTATGTCTTTAACAAGGGCTCAAACTAATCTTTAAAAAGATGACTAATGAGGGAACAAGAGAAGAGCATAATAAATTTTAACTCAGCTAATCATCTTTATATTATACAGTTGGCTGGGGAACAGACCAGGGAATTGGCGGATTCGGAGAGGAGCCAGGAATTAAATCTCAGCTAATGAACCTTATTCGATCTGTAAGAACTGTGATGAGAGGTAAGAAAAACTTGTAGGGTGCAAACCTTCTGAGAGTGAATGCTGTCAGACACTCATTTGTAGTGGGAACTTTAAACACCCTTTAACTGGATTTACTGTGTAAAAGTTGCTGGTCTTTTTCTTAGATTGCATTTTATTTCTAGGGAAACCAGTTAACAGAGATGGAATGTTTACTGGTATAATCTGTGTGTTACCTGTCAGGACAGAAAGACACAGTGATGCCTTTGCTTTGTAGAAACCGTGACTTCCACATTGTAATGTAGAATCATGAAGATTTTCCAAGAGAAAAATAAAGATTCCATATCTGCTATTGTATTGGAAAATATTTTTGAGAAAATCAAGAAAGTTCAAACATCCTGTATTTCAACATCAGGATTAGAGAGTTTTTCTCTAATTACTTTTGATTCCTTGTTAATGAATTGTTAATGATGAACCTGTAGCACTCTGTCTTTGCACTGTATTTCTGATCTCAAGTGTGCAGCTATGTGGGTCTGTCTGAGTCCATTTTATTCCTCAAGTTGCACCAGCAGCATCCAAAGATTCACACTGATCTAGAAAAGCAGTATGATTGGTACTCACTCCCTGCTATACAAGTCCTCTTTAAAATACATTTGGGGACTAGGTATGGTGGTACACACCTGTAGTCCCAGCACTTGGGTGGTAAAGTTCAAGACCTGCCTGGTTTACATCACAAGTTCCAGGCCAGCCAGGGGTAGAGAACAAGTACCTGTTTCACCACCTCCCAAAAAAGAAAATGGTTTGGGTTTTATGATACAGTGTATTTTTTGATGTACAGTATAATATTATGATGGCATATTTTTAGATATTGCCTTCTTTTCTTGTAAGCTACTTAATACCACTTAATTTTTTTCCTGATGCTTACTTTATAGTAACATTCTTTTTTTCTTCCAGTGCCATTGATAATAATAAACTCCATTACTATCGTATTGCTTTTACTGTTTGGCTGAACATCTGAGCAGAGACTCAAGAAGAGATGCCAGCAGAAGTTGCCGCTTCCTTCATTACTGGAATAGTCATTTTCAGCAGACTGATCTTGCCGTTGACAAAAATGTAAAGCCGACAATAAAAGCAGAGTTTCTATTTATCTGATTTTTGTAAATGTTGCACTTGTGGTTTTCATTCCCGAAAGATCAGATCACTAGCGGCAGTAGTGCTCCAGGACTGGAACATGCTTGTTTTGGTTTGAAAAAGTGTTGAAATGTACAGGACCATTGCTTCTGTTTCATTAGATATTATTCTGTCTCACTCAGGGAGGAACTTTTTTCCAAAGTTTTGAATTCCTTCTCACTTAGTTATAACTCGAGAGTAATTATTCCCCAGATAAAATGGGATTTTTTTTCTTTTTGTTCTCAGTATGTAGCCCTGGCTGTCCTGGAGATCCACCTGCCTCTGCTGCCCAAGTGCTGGGCGTAAAGGTGTGCTCCACCATACCTGGCAAAGAGTTTTAAAGTAATGATTACATATTAATGGTAAATATAATGGTTACATATAAATGGGTAATTTTTTTTGAACTCTTTGGTTAACTAGTCTATATTGTCTCTGCTATAAAGAATTTAAATTTACAGATGCTCTAGAAGGCAATACCCTATTTCAGGGAGAATTTCAGGCATGTAAATCAGTCATATGGTGGCTTTGTCTTCATTTTAAGTTCTTTTGATTCATTTGTTTTTTTATTAATTGGCTTGAATAATGTGATCAGACTATTCTTTACATACTTTCGTAAGAAAAAAAGTCTGTGCCCTTTTAGAACGATGATTTATTTTCTAAAGTCAGTATAAATATTAGCTGGCAAAAACAACCCTGTCCAGTCAAAGTGTACTACATAAGAAGGTGCTGTTGTGAGGCACTGACCTCCCCAAATTACAATTCCATTTCTTGGTAGAGTAGCATGTTAAAGGGTTTGATTCTTCACTGTTCACTCTGTCAGTAGACCATTCATGCTAGATAACTTTTAAACTTTTATTTGTGTTTTATGTCTTTTGTTTATGTCTTAGACCAACCTTATGAGGTTGTTTGTATATCCCATAATGCCATAATGCAGTTTTATGTAGAAAGATTAAAACTGTGCAAAGTTTTGTGAAAACTATCAGTTATAATATTTTAAAGGGAACTTTTATAAATAAAATTGACTTTCCAACTCAAGCATGTGGTTTTATGCCTGAGTACAAACCTATCAGTATTGTGTTGATCTCTATTTTGTGTGTAATATCTCCTATATGTTCTTTACTGTAAAATTGCTGGGTAGAGATTTAATGAAAGTATACATTCATAATCCATTATTTTTCTGTATATTTATTAACTGAATTGTTGACATAAATCAAGAGAATCTGAGTAATTTTTATTCCATGTCTTAAGTTACTTCTAGTCTTTTTGGTTGTGAGCCTGAGCCTTTAACGACTGTGCCAGGTGTCCAGCCCTTAAGTTACTTCTAAAAACTGGAGCAGGTGTTGAATACCTTCCAGTGGTATCTGAATTAGAGATGGATTATCTTTCATTTAGAGTGCTTGCAGCTAGACCAAGAAAATGTTTCAAAATACTTGGCTAACAGTTTACAAACCAGTCATGGTGACTCAAACCTGTTTAAAAAATAAAGTTGAAGACAACATGAGTCCAAGCTTGAGTCTCTAAACAGATTTTTTTTTAAGCAGTTAATTGGGGGCTAGAGAGATAGCTCAGCAGTTAAGAGCACTAGCTGCTAACAGTCCATTTCTCATTACCCACACGATGGCTAACAACCATTCATAACTCCAGTTCCATGGGATCCAGTATGTGGTCTGATCCCTAGGCATAGCATGCATGTATGCACTTATATACATGCAGGCAAAACACTCATACACATAAAAATAAATCAAAAAATTTTAAGCAGGGCCTGGAGAGATGTCTCAGCAGTTAAGAGCAGTGACTGCTCTTGCAGAGGACCTGGGTTCAATTCCCAGCACCCACATGGTGGCTACGAACTGTCCTTAACTCCAGTTCCAGGGGAATCCAAAACCGTCTTCTGACCTCCGCAGCATTGCACAACATGAGTGCACTCACATACATGCAGGCAATACACTCATACACACAAAATAAAAATAATTTTTTTAATTTAAGCAATTAATTGAGGGCATTCCCATTTCGCCACAAAATGTCATAAAAAGTTTCAAAAAGAAAGACACTTTGGTCTTATCCCACTGATCATGTAAGACACTGCAGCACAGCTTTATGTTAATTTAACATGGAACTATTGTCCAGGTTCACTCAGCTAGGAACATGGCAGGGTCAGCATTCTGTAAAGCAGTTCTGAGACCATAAAGCACTGGCACCATCTCCATCTCTGGAGGCCATGTACATTATTCTAGTTCTGTGCCCCCGACCCCAGACTAGGTCTCACTATGTAGCACCAGCTAGCCTGGAACTCACAGAACTTCCTGCCTCTGTCTCCCAAGTGCTGGGACTGAAGATGTATGCCACCACACCCAGCTTCCATAATTTCCATAATTCTAGTTTTAACATGTGGCTGAAGGCCCTGATTTCCCCAGAGCAAATAGATTCTGAAACAGACTACAGTATCATTTTGATCAACAGTAAGTTGACATGCCTGATTGCATCCCATATCTTCCCCTTTACCCATTCTAGGAATTGACAACTTGTGATCATTCTAGACTCCCAAAGTCTTGATAATTATGGTCTTTATGTGTTATGGATAATGTCAGTGTCTGCACTTTTTAGAAGGGTCTTGGCACCACTCTATTAATAAAGGCCTAGTACTTACTCAAATATAGTGCTTTTCAAGCTTTGATTATGATCAGCAGAACTACAGTTACAAAGGAATTTCACCACAGAGTATACAGTACCTTGATAGGTAAAGCAGGGCTTGGCCCAAAGACCCAGTGTTTAGCTTGCCTTCTCATGTCATGCTTCCCAAGGCATTTCCACAAAACCAAGTTTTCAAAAACATGGTTAAAAGGATCTTTTTAAGTCCCTGCCTTTAGGGGCTGGAAAGGTGGCTCAGCAGTCAAAGCACTTGCTGCGCTTGCAGAGGACACAAATTTGATCCCAGCACACACATCATGTGGCTGACAACTGCTTGTCACTCCAGCAACAGGAAATTCGATGTCTTCTGGCCCCCATGGGCACATAGACACACATCCTTGCTTTACATACAGTAAGCAAGATGGTCTGTGCTTTGTAGCAGGTATATGTAATCACTTGGGTTTAGATGTGTGTACTCACGATTTGAGAAAAAGTAATATGTAGTAGTCAATAGGTTTATTTTTTTAATATACAGTAGTAAAAGGGAGGTAGGAAGATTCTAATGACAAGCAAAACCTTTGGTCATGGGACTGTTTTAAAAAGTTTATTAGGAGCAGGGGCCCAGACCTTTGCAGACTGCCTGGGAGTGCCTGGATCCAGCCTCTACATGGTGCTAAGAGACAGAAGCATCCTAAATGTCCCTCAACTGATGAGTGGATAATGAAAATGTTGTACATTTACACAATGAAATTTACTCAGTGGTAAAGAAAGATGAAATAATGAAATTTGCAGGTAAATGGGTGGAAACTGTTGTACTAAGTGAAGTAAAACAGACTCAGAAAAGCAACATATGTTCTCATTTATGGACCTAGCACCAGATCCTTATATGTGAGTATATATCCTGATGTAACTGCAGGAACCAGGAAAATGGAAAGTAACCAAGGAGGTAAAGGGAAATAAGGAACCCAAGAGAGAACAGTAGGAGACAGGTGTTACTAAGGGAGAAATGTGTAAAATGGTGGTAGTTAAATGGTTAGGGAGAAAGGGAGGGCTATATGAGGAACTATGGGGATAAAGAGGAAGGAGCTAAAGAAAGGTGACACCATAGCAGATAGGAATTATCAAGGGAGAAATGGGGCTACTTTAAATGGGGAGATGTATTAGGGTTCTCTAAAGAAACAGAATATATGGATTTATCAGATTACCTTCAGGATAGAAGTCCTGAAATAGCCCAACAATAGTTGTACCACGCTGGAGAGGCTGCGAATCCAGTAGATGCTCAGTCCATGAGGCTGGATGTCTCAGCAGTCCCAATCTGGTGCTGAAGTCCTGATGAATTCCAAGAGATCTGCTAGTCTTCCATCTACACTGGAATCTGAAGAAGTTGGTCACAGCAGCAAGATGAACTCACCAGTGAGAGAGAAGGCAAGGGGCAAAAACCAAGAGCTCTCTTCTGCCCTGCCTTTTATATGGCTGCCATCAGATAGTAATGCCCACATTTAGGGTGTGTCTTCCAGCTTCAGATGATCCAATCAAGACGATCTCTCTCATTTCAGTTAATCCCAAATCCAGTCAAGTTGATACCCAAGATTATCCATCACTGGAAGGCATGGAGGGACAGTTGGTCATGGAGAGAGAGGAGAGATAAATACTGCATAGCTAGCATTAAAAAAAAACAGGGTCGGGGGCAGGCGTGGTGGCATACACCTTTAATCCTAGCACTTGGGAGGCAGAGGCAGGCAGATCTCTGTGAGTATGAGGCCAGTGGTCTACATAGTGAGTTCCAGGCCACCTGGGGCTACAGGGAGACTCTCAAAAAGACCAAAAAATTAAATTAAAAAAATAAAAAACAGAGGGAATGGTATTAGTCCAAAAACCTACCGAAAAATTACACATACACTATCTCTACATGAGTCCGTGTGTATAGCTGAAGGCTACATAATAAGAAACACTGTCAGACAGGAGAAATCTTCCTTTGAGTTGTTGGCCAGGGTAATCTAAGAGACTCCCAAAATTACACAGGCTATTGCCACCACCCTTGATTGCCTCCAGAACTTGAAGGTAAGACAGGACACACTTTGGAAACAGGATTTGGAGCAATGAGCTAGAACTAACCTGGAAGCCACCTCCTCTGAAAGCTAGCTTTCATAGCTTTGGAGAGCACTACACAAGCTGGTAAGGGAGAACATCAATCAATGGTCCAATGCCAGCTTCAAGGCCTAAAAACTACATCAATGACAGGCAGAGAAAATGACATTGGTGAAGTAGTGGCACTTTTAGCTTGGGGGTAATCAACATCTACCAATTGGACTTAAAGCCCATTCAATGGGAGGAAACCTAGCCAAATTCACATAATTGGAGAAGTCATCGATCTTAAGAGAAACCCCCAAGACTGTCACATCCCTGGACAAATGTAAAATATGGATGCTTAAAATTCCAGACAAGTATCTCAATCACCACCTATCAAAGTAGCTTCTTTTTCAGCATACAGAGATTATTACAGAGTTCCACAACTGGTCACACAGAGATTGTCTGTGAATTGCCCAAAGCCTAAGTGGCACATCTAAGATGCAACCTCTACACCTAATGCTCATGGAACATAGAATTAAGGGATGAAGAGAACACTAATGAATCTTTCAATTCTCAGCAATGAAGCTCCCTCATGTAACAGAGGGCCAGTAACACAAATGGCCAAAACATAGAGAATAAGAGTCTACAGAGTGTGGGTCCTTGAACAGGCCTCCTCTATTAAAATCCACCCACCCAGGGCTCAGGGGCCATTGTGGAAGAGGAGGTGGAAAGATTGTAAGAGCCAGAGAGGAGGTGCATGACCATAGGCAAATAGAATCCTACAGGCTACTGGGACCTTCCTCATATGAACCTATAGCAATGGTGTCAATATACAAAAGACCCATGCAAACACAAGCAGACAAAAAACACAGAACTGTGGAAATGGACAGCAGGCCCCAATCTTAATTGAAGAATTATTGGCAGCTGATTACTGCTGGGTGAGACAGAGCTGATCTTCTTAAAGGGCAAGACTCTAGATAGGCTGACTAGACTTCAGTGGATGAACTTGCACTGAGGGAAATCTGGGGACACTAACATGACATGATAGGCTTTAACACAAATGACAAAATGTATGAATTCCAGTGGCGGGGGTGGGGAGGCTATGGAAGGAGGCCAATGGGAAGGGGGTATAAAGATGATTAAGATGCTCTGTATGAAATACACAAAAATTCAATAAAAAATAAAAAGTTTATTATGGGACTGAAGAGATGGCTCAGCAGTTAAGAGCACTGGCTGTTCTTGTAGAGGACCAGGGTTTGATTCCCAGCACCCACATAACCACTAATGACCATCCTTAACTCCAGTTCTAGGGGAAATCCAACACCCTCTTCTGAGCTCCATGTGCATTTCATGACACAAGTACACTTACATACATCCAGGTAATACATTCATACACATAAAAATAAAATTTTTTTTTAAATTATTACATTTATTTCTCTCCTACCATATGGGTCCCAGGGATCAAAATCAGGCCATCAGTCTTGGGGGCAAGCACCTTACCAGCTGAGCCATCTCACCCACCCATGCCATGGGACTTTTAATTTTTATTTTTATGTTATGAGTGTTTTGATTGCATGTATATAAGTACATCACATGCATGCAATGTCCATGAAGGCCAGAAGCAGGCATCGGATCCCCTGGAACTGGAGTTACTGATGGTTGTTAGCTACCAAGTGGGGCTGGGAACCAAGCCCTGGTCCTCTAGAGGAGCAGCCAGTGCTCCCAACCACCATCTCTCCAGCCCCACCAAAGGAGTTTTAAACCAAATAAGACCTTTGTAATTTTTGTTGCCTCATCTTTAAAATTGGCCAGTAACTTTTTTTTGTTGTCTTTTTTGAGACAGGGTCTTCCTGTAGCCCTAGCTGTCCTAGAACTCATTATGTAGCCAGGCCAACCTTGAACTCTCAGAGACCCGCCTGCCTCTGCCTCCTGAGTGCTGGGATTAAAGGCATGCACCACCACGCCCAGCTAGCCAGTAACTTTTAAAACAGAAGCCTGAACCTGATGATGGAATTCATTTTACTAAAATGTGCTTTGTTCTTGATTGTTGGTTATGCCAGACATTGTGAAAATATGTGCAAGGATCTGAGACAGTGGACAGTGTCCATGAATAATCAAGAGAGGTTTCGGAATTCTGTTTTTATTTAGCTTACTTAGTGCTTTATACCTCCACTCTGTGGTTTTTTGGCCTCTTTTCCAAATTGTCTCTGTGACCTCGTTCTTTTTTTCCTCCTCTTACCCTTAAGCAAGCACAGCCTTTTGGTAACGAGGACTCCATCAGCCCTGGCATAGTAGTTAAAGACACTATCATTTACACTACCCATTTCACAAGGCTGGAGCTTGTAGTAAATATCATGAGGCCTTTCTCTCCCTCTCCCAGTCTGACCTGTCATCATTTTCTTTTTTATTTCCCCACCCTCAGATTTGTTCTTTGCTTTATTTCCATGCATTGTAATTACAGCATTTCTTGTAGACCTACAATGGGCTTTTACTAATCTCATGTACTTTTGTGCCTCTGATCATCAATCTTTGTATTACAACTAGAAACATTTAGTAAAGCATGTGTTTGATAGTGCCTACCTGCTAAAAGTCCTTTCATAAAGGGCTAGAGAGATGGCTCAGCTGTTAAAGAGTACATACTGCTACTGCAGAAGACCTGAGTTATCTTCCAAGATGTTGGGCAGCTCACGACTGCCTGTAACTCCAGTTTCAGAAGATTGACAGCTTTGGCCTCTGCAGGCACCGGCACTCACAGACACAAAAATCCAACATCATTGTCCCTGTCCCTGTTGTGTTCCCTCACCTCCAGAATCTGGATGTTAAAGGTTTTAGTAGTTTTCCCTCCCTTCATTTTGGATTAGTCCACTTAAACAAAGAAGAGAAGGCTGATAGGCCGTATCTCCAAGGTGTGATATCTAGGGCTCCCGGACTCTTAAGCAGGTCAGCTGAAGGGACCCTCTTGTGTTAAAAATTAAGGCCTTCTTGGGCTGGAGAGATGGCTCAGCAATTAGGAACATTGGTTGTTCTTGCAGAAGACCTGGGTTCAAATCCCAGCACCCACACGGCAGCTAACAACTGTCCGTAACTCCAGTCCCAGGGGATCCGATGGCCTCTTCTGTCCTCGCAGGCATTGCACAACAACGGGTGCATATACCTACAGGCAGGCAATACACTCATACACATAAAAATAATAAAATATTTTTTAAAAATTAAGGCCTTCCTGCCAGACCAAAAAGCAGCAGAATGTGTACCATCTTTATTACTTCTCGGTGACCTTGTTGCTTATTAGGGATTTAGTCCCTTACAGCTTTACTTTGGCTTATGGTTTGAGGATATAGTCCATCATGTTGCAGAATGCAAGGCAGCAGAGCATAAGGATGCTCAGATTTGTCCACAGTAAGCAAAGATGAATGCTGACCTCAGCTGCCCTTCTCCCCCGTTTCCCTTTAAATTAGTCTGAAACCCCAGTCCATAGGATGGTACCCCCACATTCAGGTTGGGTCTTCCCTTAGTTTCACTTCTGTGTCAAAACAAACGCACAATGCTCACCTCAAAGGGGTAAGAGTTTATTCTAGACCAAATATGAGTGACCATGGCCCAGATTTCAGTTACTGCAAATTCCATATTCCAACGTGGAAGCAGTTTCATGAAGTTTTTATAGTAGACACTTTTCAAATACATCGGTGGAATCATTAAGTAGATGGTTACAGCAAAAGAGAAATCTCAGCTATACACCTCAGATGCTATCTGATGGCATTCACCCTTTTTGGTGAAAGCTGGTGGTCTGCTAAGTTAATACATTTCAAAAGTTTTATCTATAAGTCACAGAATATTGTCAGAAATAAGACAAGGAGTGACAATTTGGGAGGCTGAAGATGGCCCGAAATAAATGGTAGCTGGGCATGAACCTGCAACATTTCAAACCCTCACAATCACTTAAGTTCTAATCAGTTGATCAGCCTTTGCAGCTGGTTCAGTTTCAAGCCACAGTTTTTTGGGGGGGGGACACTTTCGTTCACACCTGGAAACACCTTCACAGACATAACCAAAGATGTGTCTCAGGTGATCCCAAACCTAATCAAAGTAACAATGAAAATTAACCCTCAGATAGTGAATATGTCAGGACCACTCTGTCCAAATCCAATTTATTTGGATCAAAAAGAAGTACTGACTCCTAATGCGTGTGGAAAGGAATGGTGAGAAGGCTGAGGCAAGTATACCAAGATCTTGTTCTAGAAACAGGTGAAGCCTATGGTAGGAAGGGCAGACCGGGAAGCTGATGGCACGGTTTTGGAATGGTTGATGCGAAGGTGCCACTTCTGGAAGTTAATGACGACGGAGAGGTAAATGCCAATGCTTTTCAAGTACCAAAGCAGGAAAAGACTTCGGAAACGTGGTGTTTCAAGGAGAGTACCATGCTGACACCTGATGCCTCTGGATGAACAAGAAACGCGGAAGCGAGGGCGGGAAATAACACGAGGCTGCACCATGGTGCTGTGGAAAGAACTCTGTACTGAGCAAATGCTTAAGTTTCGGTTTCCTTACAGTAGCCAGGCTCACCTGGCTGCTCCATCATCGATACCTCCCTTTCCACCCAGGAAGCAGGCACAGGGCGACAACCTGACCTTGCGCTGAGGTCTTGCGAGGCGGGACTTCCGGCGCACCCAGGACTCCACCCGGTTCAAGGGGCAGCGGCTTTCCCTTGGACGGCGTGGGAGCGAGGGTAAGCCTCCGCGCGCAAGGGCAGAACGGGTTCGGGGTCAGCGGCCGTGCGCTTGCTGAAGGCCGCTTTTCCAGTGAGACACTTGAGAAACGCCAGCAGCATCCCTTTGAGCTCCGGGCACCGGCCGGTAGGATGTCTGGGTGGTGACCGCCCCCTCCGCGGCCTGCGCATGCGTAGTGCTGGACTCCGGCTCTGCCCTGAGAGCTAGGCTCAGTATCCCGGCCGAGGTGGTGTCTATGTGGTCCCCATCCGTCGAGGCCTGCCCTCAACTGCTTGGACGCCTGTATGCTTTAGCGTTTGCCAGATAGTGAAACTTGGGATAAGGCAGAATGCAAAGAGCCTTCCCCCCAAGAAATAGCCACTGCAGCTCAGTACACCGTGGTTCATTGTTCAGACTTTAGTTTGAGAGTATGGCAAGCCAGCAGACTACTTCCAACTTTAATAACTAATAGCATCATTTATTGATGCATACAGTAGCTCCCCAGAAGTCTGGGACCAGGCAGGGAAGGGAAGAATTTTAAGGTCCCAGAATGTCTAGGAGGCGTATTTGAAAGAACCCCAACCTTCCAAGAGGAAAATTTCATTGAAATGTGTTTGTTTTTTTTTTAAATCATACGTAGGCAAAATTTTAATTATATGCTACAACATATTTTTATTTTGATGTTTTCTTTTTAAAAAAATACTATTTTATATGTGAGTATTGACTCCATGAATCTTGTCTTGTGGTATCCTCAGAGGTCAGAAGACAAGAGTCAGAAAATACTTCTATTTTGGCTGGGTGTACTGGTGCACGCCTTTAATCCCAGCACTTGGGAGGCAGAGGTAGGCAGATCTCTGTGAGTTCAAGGCCAGCCTGGTCTACATAGTGAGCTCCTGGACAGCTGGGGTATGAGTGTATTACCTGCACCTGTGTCATGCAGTGTCCACAGAGGTCAGCAGACAGCATCAGATCAGGTAGAACTGGAGTGACCCACAATTGTTAGCCACCATGTGGGTGTTAGGAATCAAATAAGGTTCTCTGCAAGAGCAGTCTCTTAACCACTGAGCGATCTCTCTAGCCTCCTTGATATGTTTTCTTAAATCCCCAAGTTATATAGATGCTTAAGACCTTGCATCAAAACATAAGAATAAAGAGCTGGGTGTTGGTGGTACAGGCCTTTAATCCCAGAACTTGGAGGCAGAGACAGGTGGATCTCTGAGATCAAGACCAGTCTGGTCTACATAGAGAGTTCCAGGCCAGCTGTGACTACAGGGAGACCCTGTTTCAAAAAGACCAAAAACTACAGCTAAAAATGAAAAAAAAAAAAAAAAAAAAAAAAAGGGCTGGGGAAATGGCTAAGCAGTTAAGAACACTGCTGCTCTTGTAGAAGACCCTGTTTCTGTTTCCAGCACCCATATGGTAGCTAACAGCCATCTGTAACTCCAGTTCCAAGGAATCCAGGGGCCTTCTGGCCTCTGTGGGCAGGCATTTCACAACATGGGTGCACGTATATGCAGGCAAAAACACTCATACACACAAAATAAAGTGGTTTTTTTTTTTACATAGCCTCCCTCCCCCCACTAGAGCCCTTATACTCTGATATCCCTGCTACTGTCTGCTGTGTTGTCGGCACCCTCAGCCATTGCCCACTACTTGTCCTCTGGTGAATCTAGAGGTCTTTGTTTTAGGAGGGTCAGCTGTTCCTCATCTAGCGGTAATCAGTTGTCAGTATTCCTTTGGATAAGATTGGGATCTGTTGTTCATTTTCCTAGTTCTATTCTGGGTTGCTATCTGGGAATCCTTTTGGCCACCCTGGCCAACAACTCAAAAGAAGGTATCGCCTGTCTGATGTTGTTGCTTGTTATGTAGCCATTAGTTATACATATGGAAGCTTATGAAATGATATTGGCCCCTTTAATCTTTGGTTATACTTTCCTTTTGGGTGTTTAAGGCCATACACTTGGTCCAGGTTAAGGTTGTTTGAGGATCTGTTCCTCAGAGGTCACATGGGCTTGGGAGGAGCCCCTGGCTCCTTTCTTTTACCAGTTCCACCTATGTGAAGATAAGTCAAAGGTCCTACTTGACCATGGTTGGCTTCACTTGGAAGCATGGAGGACATAATTCCTCTGTGTTGACCCTCCTCTTCTGTAGACTGGACACTGGTTCAAGTCCATCTGGTGGAGTCTCCTCAGCCTCCTTGATTAAGAGACAGGTGACCCACCTCCATTATAGGACTTTTTGAGAGATGCTCATAGTCCCCTGGAACTAGTCAACCTAGGAGGGCAAGGAGCAAAAAGTGTCCTTTATGTCCCTCTAAC